AATGTCATATGCATGGTGATTGTGGGTTTTACACACTTAATACAAATGTACAACAGAATTATAAAAAAAATATATTATATAATATTTTAAAATAAAATTATTCTTTAATTGTTTAAAGTTTTATTATTTCATACTATTTGAAACGTCAAATGTATTTAATTTAGTTATGAATTTTGATACAAATTGAAACTTGAATATATTACTGTAATAAATTACTCACATTAAAAAATATTAAAACTAAGACAGTAAAAAACTTATAACTGCAAAACTCAATAAAAAAGCAAATTATTTATTTGATTTAATATGTTAGGCTCAATTAAATTACATTCATGCAAATTTTAAGTACAAATATTAAAAAAAAATTATACTATGAGAAATACAGTAAAATAAACTGCAACACGAATTTAAATCGAAAATACCTAAAAGGTATATTAAAAAACAAATGAAATGTAAAAATATTGCAACCATTACATATTACATATTGTAAATTAAATTAATGTCAAGTGTTTTGATAGTTTGAACTTCGTATGCGTGTAAGCGACATTGACAATGAGGCATGCCTGCACGCCAATAAAATGCCGTTTTGTAATTGTAAATAACTTTCAGTGAATTGTAACGAGATATACGTTGTGAAAGTATCTTAAGAGATGCTATTTGTCTAGGTATTTAAAGAGAATAATTTAATTACGCTTTGTATGTCTATATTCAATTATTTATTATTTTTTTAAGTAGTTTTTCGTTGAATACTGTTATTTGAATTTTTATGCTAGTTTGCACATATAATCTTTTTGTTTTAGGCTTCATACGAAGTTTATTTAAATAAATGAATAAAAACAATACAAAGTATTATAAAATTTTAATTTTAATTATAAAAAAAAATTTGAATTTGCGTTGCATAAATTTACTATATACAGATAATTATAATATTAATTTGAAGTAATGATACATTAAACACTTTTTCCAATTTATTCATATATTTTTAATAATTTTTGTAATATCATGTTATTAAAATTATCGTGTTGTGACACGTATCCAAATAAGCAAGGGCGAAACCGTTAAATTAAGCCATTGTTTTCTGATATTATTTTTTTTTACACGTTTCAAACGAGCATTGTTTGGTCAAATTCATACGAATTGTGTGAAACAAAGGAGTGCTTATTAAATGATTACAAAATTTCTACTCTTGAATAATCATTTCATTAAAACATTAACCTTAATAGAAAATACTGAATTAATAAGTATTATGTCTAATATTCGACAAGAGAGAGAATTTTTGTAGGGATATTATATATATAAACTATTTGTGCATTAGTTTGTTTGTAATATTAAAAATTTAGTTATAATTGTATAGAGTGGAATGCCGAAATTGTGATTATAATGTTATCAATACAATGTTAAAGATTTATGTAAGTAAAACCCATTATGTTGCTGTTGTATATTATTTGTAAATGTGGAAGTCTATAGAAGTTGTCGAGTAATCTTTTACGTAATATTTACGTTGAAAGTAGAGCGTAACTAAATGATACACGGGGGATTGCTACTACAGAAAATGTCATTTTTATAAAGCCTTTTTTTATAACTAAGTACTACTTGCCCACTACTTGTTTTATTAATATTCATTAATAAGTTTTACTCATAACTCGGCGGCGGCCATCTTTCTAACCAGACTTCATTTATTCATTGAATATTAAACGAAAGTTGTTTCCCGTAATCGAGTTGACAGCGTTATATTTTTTTAAGCATATCATGTCTTGTAAACGGCAATATATTTTAAGTTATTCAGGTCACGTTTACGCAAAATATAGTTAAAACGGTTCGATTTTAACTGTCTCGATCCGAGATGGAAGTTAGCAGGGGCGCGCAGACAGTCGTTTATTGTCGGACGGGTGAGTGCAGACTTGCGCAACACCCGGAGGCAACACGCTCGACCCTGAACTCAATTCGGGCGCGATCATTTTGCAACTAATCAGTGGTCGTTGCGCCTCTGGTAGTCGGACCGCCACCGGCTCAAATGTAAACATTTACAGGCGTCGTTGGTCCAACTTACGAGGTCGTAACGGACGTGATGCACACACACCGTCCTATAGCAATCTGACGTGTCCACATCATCGCTTAACAGAATTCTGCTTATCATATGACAAGCGATGGTCAGAAACACGGCGAGTCTAAAAATATCGTAAGCAAGGAACACTTCCTATTGGATAATGGTCATTCAAGGATTACCGTCCTAGGACTAAGTAATCTTTGTAATATTTTGAATTCATCGCTATATATGATATTTCTACGTAACAGTAATAATAAGGATGTCAGTATCGGCTGGCGTGTGTGGTGTTAATGTGTTTATATACGAGTGTCGCGGTAAATATGTAACTAATGTTCTCTGTAACTATTTCATGGAATCATTGTTGTATAAACGTCAATACATAGCGATCGTGTTTGATAATAATTTGTTACTTCATCCTAGCATCAAACCAGTTTGTGAAGAACATTAATGGTAACCGGTATTAAATTTATAATTATACATATCATTATTTTTCCGGTATCAAAAGAGCAAAATACAAATAAGATGTTTTATAATTCGGCATAATGGAGCAATTTTACATCCTATTATTTATTTTTTTATATAAAACAAGAATTTGGACGATTTTTCTTGTTTCTTAAGGCCTTTTGGACTCTGATTCATAATAGGAAATCCTGTATCTCTCGTGGATTTTGTAATGTTGAACATAGTTTAAGAGAAACGACCTCAAAAAATTTAAATAAAATATTGTCAAATAGCGAATATATAAAAAATTGATCAGTATTGTTTTTGCGGAAGGTCAATCGATGTAATTTACATATAATGTAATTTTTAAACTAGACATAGAAAAAAATTGCTAATTACATGATGAAAATGCAATAAGATTCATAATAGTGACCTATTAGTGGCCTTAAAACAATTTGTATAACAATTAATTTTCTTCATGATAGCTATTCCTTCACGATTTTCCGATAAAATTTCCTTATTCGTGTACCTTATACAGAGGCTTAAATGGTCGAGTATCGGAATTGTTTACTCAAACAATCAGTTTGTGGAACTATAGACGAGTCCAAATTAACCTTGCTACGGATAATTATGATAATTAAATCTCACCATGAAATTAGTTTTATCTTTTCTATCATATTTCTCAGTACTAATTGAACCTTGTTACATTTTTTACTTTTTTTTAACCAAATAGTTTTAGCTAGCGTCATCGTATAATTGCTTATATATTACTAGTTTCACCGGTTTTTAGATAATTAAATACGAAAGGGATAAAATTGATGATAGCTAAAATATGATCATACGTATATAATCTATCAGAAATTTACAAATTCTTACGACAATAAATAATTATATTATCTGTTAAGAGCTGTCATGTTTATTATGGAATAATAAATTTTCGATTTCATTATCTTTGTAGCATAAGTGAATGTGAAAATTAGTTCGTTCTTTATTATTAGTAACTGTCAATGCCATTTTCGCTTAAATTAGGTTATGTTTAGATGGTTTTTATCTAAAGGTTATGTTATCTATAAGGCATGCCTTTCTATCGTGTTAAACTAGGTGTTACGATTTTCTAAATTTTATTAATATATATTTTTTGTTATAAGTCATATCAAGAGGCCAAGGTATTTATTGTTCTTCCAGTTAATCATTGTAAGTTTGAAGCGTTCAATGATGATCTCTTTTGACCGACTTTATATGAGGAAAATGGAAGGTAGTTCAAGTAAGACCATTTGTTGGTATAAATCTATTTAAACAGCAAAATTTCAAATAAAAATAGATCATAATTAAATCTTAAATTGTATTATTATATTTGAGAAACTAGGGATGTTAAAATCGTGATTTTATAAAATTATACATGTGTTATGTTTTCCCAATGACGTAACTTGATATTAACGTGACAAAATATGTTTTAAAAATTTAAAAATAGAGTTGAACAAAATTTATTTGAACAAAACATTTACGTATATTTGTTAACTATAACAAGAAACCTATTCTCATCGCTATTTCAATATTATTCATATAAAAGATTATTATTATTTTAAGAACTGATCGCTCGAATGAAAAAAGAGAATAGTTATATTAACTTTATCAATTCTTAAATGATTTCCAATAGATTGATTTCTGTTATCGCAATACTTTTATTCCGAACGCCTAGCAATTATATTTCGAACGCCTAACACTAGTATTATGTCAAACCCCTAACAGTTAATCTGAAATCTCATGTCATGTGTAGTCGCGACCTTACGTTACACGTCCAACGCCACGCGCCTCACGCACAGGGAATACTAACGTCTACGAAACGCCTTGGTGGATCCTTGGCTTCAAAACCAATCTCCTTTCTTAGACTATTGCGTTTAATGAACGGTTTTTCATTACGGCTACGAATCATATTATTTACTGGCTCAATTCTCTACCATACATCATAAAGGATCTATCATTTTATTGAATATATATGAGATATATCGAGTTATGTTCATTATTATGAGGTCAAAGATTAGTTATAATATGTCTGTATTGTATAATTGACACATGAACAGTAATTATTTTTATAACACTCTGTTTCAAAACATATAATTTAAATCTACCCATACATGTGATACTTCTTTGAATTTAATAACATATATCGCGATTATATATTATATTTTATTGTATATATATTTACATAGTAATTTATATATATATTTTATAGTTTTATTTAATTGCATCTTAACTATGTGCCCATGAATATAATTCCTTTTAAAGCGAGAAATTTCCAATATGAATGTTAACGTATAAATATTAACCTTTGAGTTTTACAATTAAGAGGTTTCGACACAAGGTCAGTTTTAATGCTTTCTAGTGTTTTGAGTAAAAAATATATATAACATATGAAATAAATTTATAAAGAAATTAATTATATTTTAATAGAATGCTGTATCGATCACATGATAGTTCGATAGTTTCATAATAGCTTGTATCATCATAATCTTACCTGGGTGTGTTAGTTGATGGGCTCCAAGCCTGTCCAGTGATATCACAACACTATACGAATGGACAGCGATGTCCGATACTATGGTGGGGCGCTGTTTATTCGGTATTCGTTGTACGCGCGAGTGCCTGCGCCCGCGCAGCATGCAAGTATACTTGAGACTGGCAAGCCACAGCTACACCGCGCCCTTTTATCACATCGCATTCACGCGCCTTCAACTTGACTCCTCGTGCTTAACATCTAACACCGTGAAGCAGGATGTATTATATTTAGGCAGAGCGTTTAATAAACAAACAACTTTTTAACTTCGCTAATAGCTGATGTCTGGAGTTCACAGCGCTTAATAGGTTTCAAAGATCGACATTACAGAGAGGATTATGTAAAAAATATTATGTGCTATCATGAATATAAATATCTGGTAATTTAATGAGCTTTTGAAGAATTAATTGTAAGATATGTGGAAGGTTTTAGTGATAAAAAAATATTGGTGTTTAGCATTCATGTCTTTTTCTAAATTATAATACAATGTCCAACAAAGGTCTACAATGTTATTTACTTAAAAATAGTGCAGACAGCCTAATGAGGTAAGTGAGGTCATTGTTCTCTGTTACAGGAAAATTTAAAGAAAGCCAAGAACAAAACTATTATATATCACTTTTTTACATACTATTTTGTTCACAATATATTTCATATCACAAAAAAAAAATACATCGGAGTTCATTTCAGGATTAACGAACGAATTTTAATTTTAATATAGAGATGATATGTTATTTTATATATTTATAATTAGTAAATTACAAAATTGCTTAAAATGTATTAAAAATAAAAATATATACATACGAGTATGTATAAAGTTTTGGGTGTTAAGTTTTGAGACACCTTGCATTTGATGTTAAAACAATGCTAAATAAATAATATTCACTCACTACAATAGAATTCAAAGTATACTATCTATAATATTCGAAAAAATACAGCGATTTAGTATAAAATAATAAAAAAAAATATATAAATCTAATATATTGTAAATTACAGTCATTGTAACTTACACATACGAAATATTTACGAAATATACGAAATAAAATGAATTCATTTAATTTGTAAAACAGGTTAATGAGACCAACTACTATACAAATTCTAATAAATGCAAAAAAAAAAACAAAAAACTTAAAAAAGAAAACACAATAGATATTATTAAGTAAATTCCTGATTAAATTCTTTTCATAGAAGAATAAGTAAGTTCACTATGTTTTTAAATCCAAGTAATTCACTCGACCGCAAACTTTGAACTATAACATTAAATTAATGAAGACAATTATCATATAAGAACAGTTTCAACGCGGATGGATAGATGTTTTTGCCATTGTAAATATCACCTTTTTATGTCGATACTAAAGTATTATTACATCATTTGTTTAAATAAAGTAAAATACGGCGAAATATACGCATTAATTGAATCAGTTAAGTTCATGAAATAGACAATAAACTGAGTTTAGGTTCCGTAATAGAAATATATAACTTTATTATTTTTCTTAATTATGATTAACTATAATTAAAAATAATTTTACTTAAATTTAAACGAAAATATAGAGAAGTTTAAAATATCATTATTATTAATTAAATTAATAAAATCTTTTCATTCCCATCCCTAACAGGATGTTCGATTTTTATGTATTAGTAACTTGTATTTGTTTAATTTTTACGATTGAGTTGTAGTTTATAACGTATGTGTTAAATGTTTGCTTTGTATGTGTTTTAAAAATATATGGAGTTACGTCTAATATAAAACACAAATATATAACATTGTGATATAAAATTTTTTGTATTAAAAATACTCAGCTGTTTAATGTTTTCTTAATTCAGGATTCAAATTTTATTGTATTACTTCTTTGAGGCAGACTTTAAGTATAAATTAAACTTACTAACGTAATATCTGAGGATAATTGTATGAATAAACTTAAAAAAGACTCATTAAAGTCATCTTTATAGTCAAGTATAACCTAAACAAGTAAATCCAACAAAAAAATGTCAAGTCATCCAATAATAACAAAATGTAAAGGATATTGGAAGGAATCTTTGAAATGTAGAGAAATTAAAAATTAAATTATGCGGATAAATTTTATGTTATGATAATTTTGATGACATTTAATTTCATCTAATTCGACTCTTTCAATATATAAAGAAAACTATGTATTTATAAAATATTTAATAAAATCCTTTTATCAGAGAGAATTCATGGATGAAAAAAATATTAAAAATTATACATTTCTATTGATATCCATTTTCTGTTAAAGTAAAACATATTAACAGTTGTTTGAATCAAAGTATTGTATAAAATATTATGGTTATTTAATGTAAGAAATATATATAATATGTTTGTATTTAAAATGTCATCTTTCTAAATGATGTCAATGATTGTACACCAGGTAAAAATCATTATGATGAGTTATATTGCGACGTTAAACGACCTTGACGGGTTCATTATTAGTTTAAATAATTTAAGACGAACAAAAAAAGTATTGATTCACGGCTTTCGAGAAAATTACATGATAAAAAAAGGTAAGGAAAAGATTCAATGTATGTAAATAATTTCCACTTTCTGAGTTTTCATTGGTATTAAGAACAATTAAAACAAATCGGCATAGATGGAAGTCGCTCAAAATTAATTGTATTTTGCAATGTAAGGTATATTATTTTATTAATATGACTTTTTCTGTTTTTTTTTTTTCACTTAGCAATACTTTTAAGTACATACATTTATAATAGATTCCGGTTAGCATTTAAAAGAACTTAGTGTTTTCGTATTGCTTTTTAAAATCATTTAAATAGGTTTTACATAAAAAGCTAATTAATAAAGTTTTATTTATCAAACAGATCTAGATGTCGTATTTATAATCCATCGTCTATGGGTATAACTATTTTCGCTAATTAATCAATCGTCATAGAATAAGCCATTGTTTTTGAAGTTTAGTAGGTTTTGAGGTAAATTGGTAAGTTTTCCTCAATGATATATTAATAAAAGTTTAATAATAGTATATAGATACTAATTTAGGGGAAAAAACGGGTATATAGGAAATATTTTAATTAGAATTTATCAAATTCAAACGTCATGTAGGTATTTCTTATCACAATTTTTTTTGAAGCAAAATCAAATGTCCGTGAAGGTCATGAAAATGAAAGTGTCAACTCAGGTTGACAGGTTCAATATGAAAAAGATTGTATTAAATTGCATATACTTACAAATGTATGTTTTTTAATCTATGCATAATTCATTAATTCAGTCTCAGTCGAAACTTAAAACGGTATACGCCGGTTATCTAAACTAGATTTTACAGTTATGTTTCGTTTTTTTTTTTAATTTAGATTCATTCAAACATCATGAAGGTTTTATAACCGATAGAGTCCGTATTGCTTACCTCATCGTGAAGAAAATAAGTACTCACTTTAATATAATACAAATATAACAATGTTGATATTGACATTGATTGATTTTAAGATAATATTTTTAAGGAAATCACTAGTATGTATTTACTTATATACATACAAGTTACAACTCTTTACGAGCGTCTTATACAAACATCTAGTCAACTTTGATTGAAATAAATGTTATTCAAGTTTTAATCGTTGTTTTGTATTACGATATAATTAAATCATTTTTGATTTTCATTTGACGTATGCAATTCAATGAATCTATTGTTCTTAACCTTGAACTAGCAAAGGTAATAATTTGTTTGTCATTAAGATTTTATTTACAATAACAATAAAATATAATTTATTATTACAAGGAATTATATTACTCTACTATTAAATACCTAATGGACGTATGTATAAAAAATTACTATAAATAATATTTGAAAATTGAAATCATTCTTTTCGAGATAAATATCGTATTTTGAGAGTCATTAGGTTAGTTTGAGAGTAATTCAATGGTTGTCATATGTTTTATAGATTACGAAGTTGTAAAATTATAATAATTAAACTTGCTTGCTTAATTTAATTGATTTCATAAAAGTTCTGTAATTTACAAGTAAATTAAATGACAAAAAAGTTACAATGTTTAGGTAAAACATAAGACGTAGATCGTATTCTATAGAAGTCTAGAAAATTTGGACCCAAATGTATAAATACGTTAAAGTATTTTGTTTATATTCATATAGAGTTAGAAGTGAAAATTAAGTTATGAAGGTGATAATTTTTAGTTTTATCATATATAGCATTTTAGTGGTATTTTCCTTAAGATATATTTTGTTTCTGAATAATATATAAATAGGGGAAAAATATAACAAATCTAACATATACAACTGCTAGTGTCCAATTTCAACATCAAACCTTTAAAGGTACCTTGAATTAAGAATTGTATTCTGACATACAAACAGATGACATGCAGGATAAATAGACAAAGAAATACAAACTAATTAATAGGAGAAATCCGTCATTTAAGAAATACTTCGTTAAACTTACATTCGTAATCCATAACACCTATTTTATTAATACTTCTCTGTATTTAATCAATATATATAACTAAATGTACTGTCTTTAGAAGTCTGGCCAAAAAAAACTTCAGACACACTAAAAAGAAAAACACATGCAACACTTAGCACTTCTATGTTTATTAAATGAATCCAAATATGCTTTAATAATCAGACTTCAATTAGCAAACCTAGCTAACAGCGACATCGGCGTGCTATACTGAAAAAATTGAAGAGAGTTCTCTTGGAAGACAGACCTTTGTGGGTACGTTTTGTAACAAAATACTAGAGTATGTAAAAATATAAAGGGAATGAAACGAACTAATGTGTAACGAGTGGGTATTGATATATATAACGACAATCTAAAATCTTATAAAACAAAAATAAAAAATAATTTTAAACTTTTAATGTAATATACTTATTGTAAATAATATCTGCGGAATAGTCCATATACCTCTTACAAAAGAGTTGAGATTTATTCTATAAGAGTTCTACATATATTATTTATTATTTAATAAGTTGCTTTGTTTTTTTTTTTTGTGAATGCATACTGAGTTGCTTCCTAATAAAATAAAAAAAAAATAATAAATAAGCAAAACATGGCAAATTAAATCAATAAATTTAAAAGATTATAATGCAGTATTCTGTGTATATATATTTTTTGGAAGAACATTTAATT